TGGGTGCCAATAGGCACAGCAAACGAAGATGCTCCTGGATATTGTGACAGAAGCTATTTTAAATTATGTGATAATGTTTTCCTTGAGCTTCTTCTTTTCCTCAAATGCAGTCAATGACTGGGAGAGTTTTACTAGCTCTGTGTCAATCGGAAATCATGTGAAGTGCACAACGTGAAGGGAGAGAGAAAACAAGCTACCTTTGCTTCAAGTATGCGCACTTGTGCTGTGGAAGCCATCGTCAGACAAAAATATACTGTGAGCTCTTTCCACCCACATACCTAAAGCTTCATGAAGCAGAGACTGTCATGTGGTGGCAAAGGCCAGATTATCATAATGTGGGTGTGATGTTTCTGCCCCAAAATACTCTCCTGCCTGTTGTGTTCCAAAGTTCCTTATTTGTACCTGCAAAGCAGTAATCTGCACAAATGGAGTAGTTAGGTGTCCAAGTGTTGTGTGTCCAGGGACCACCCACAGTTTCTCTGTGGGCAGAAATGCACTCTCTGTAGGTGAGAACATGTGTTTTTTCAAGTACATGTTCTTTTGTTTCTTTCTCTGCCCTCTCAAGAGTGACATCTACTTCTGACTGCATTTTATTTAGTGTAGGATGTGTGGGACCATACTTCTTTCACATTTTCTTGTGTTGACTTGCCAAATCCTCAGCTTGTACAAATTGCCATAATTCCACTGAAATCAACAGAAGTATGTTGATTAAAACCAGCAGAGAATCTGAACTCGTTAGTTTGCAGATCATGATCCATGTGAACTTCTGGAATGACCTATCACAGTTGTTTTGGGGATATAGAGAGATCTTCCTGTAGAGACTGCAAAGACTTTAAGATGTTTTGTAGGCCACAGCTGGCTGCTGTCTTCAAAGTACTGTCTTTTTTTTTTCCTGTTCTCTTCTAAAGTTATATCCTGAATGTCTGTCTGAAAGTTCTTTTAGTTTTGGTATTCATCTAGCAGTTTGTGGCCTCCCACTGTGGTACAGTGGATGGAGTAGTTTCATCATGTCTATCAGTGTGATACCCAGCAACACATTGACACTGACAATGAACTGAATGACATTTAATTGTAAATCTATTGTCATGAACTCTAGGCTTATCATGGCTTGTTATTTTGAGACAAACGCAACGATTAGCATGGGGTGTACTTTATGATAATTAATAATGTTTTACACATCAGATGGTGGCGTTGACTTTTGAGGGAAACCACCTGGGCTCAGCTCTCGCTAGCTAAAATTAATATTTCTGTATTTTTGTTTCAGTGTTTCAAAATGAATATGATAAAATACTTTAAGATCAATCACTTAAATAATAGATCCATGCAATCAATCGGCTTAATAACATGGTTATTGGGATAACCTGCTATTACCTATTGGGTGATATTTTAGGTTAGATAACTAGTATATATTGTACTGGAAGTTTCTCTTTGCACTCAAATTGAACTATTTTAATGGCCAGGTGAATGTTTTGCAGCTCTTCTGCCTCTTTGCCTAACCTGGTATCTGAACAGGTTTTTTTTTTATGAAGGTAAAGGTAAAATACTGAGGTTGTAGATACATTTTGGATGCAGATATCAGGAGGGGGTAGTTAACTATTCTGCTTACTATAGCAATAGTATATCTAATAAATTTCTTATTGAACAGGAGTTAAATTTTGTAGTTGCATTCCAGAAACTGTTTTCTTAAATTATATGGCAATATCTGCAATATCTCCCAATAGTGACAAATTGCAAATGTGTTAATGGTTCTCTTATGGCTGTGCACCTTGAAGATATTCGAAACCCATTCCTTCTACTAAATGCTGCCACGGTTTCTATGTTTTGAAACCCTAGTGAGTATTTTCTGGGGAGAGGAGGAGCTGTATTTTGAAAAACAAATCTTAGTTCAAAAAATTACAAATGCTGCATTTCAAGGAGATGAAATAATCTGCTGCAAACTAGGAAAGAACTTCTGGAGGTTTATGTATCTATAGAATAATGTTAGATAAATTTAAATGTGTTAACTGTGTGGTACCATTGCAAATGCTATTTTTGGCTGAAAAGGACCAGTGATTGCTTGTAAAAAAGGAGACATCAGACTAGTTCAGCTAGCCTTGGCTGGGCAGTTTGGAATGTGGTCTATGTTTCTGGCACTCGCACTTAAGGAAGATGTACAGGAAGACTAGTAAAAACCAGAAGAAGCTAAGGAAAGACTGCACAAACCTAAATAAAGGGCAAGCTATAAAAATTAATCTGGAGTGGGTGTCAGCATGCCAGTGCTTAAAATAAAAATTCATTTTCATCATAGTTCTTTCAAGTAACAAAAGTATACATCAAAAGAAAAGAAAAAGGGGGTGGTCAGCAACAGAAACATGGTGTTCACATTAGGGAAAAGTCAGGATTATAGGATATTTTTCCCAGGAAGACACACGGTTATAGTCCAAGATAATCTAGAAACTGTTTCCAGTTCAATTATAGACTACTACTATATTTGACTCTTTAACTTGCTCTATGTCGCTTCACCATCTGTAAAGCAAGAAATGTTAGTGTGGTAGTGTTAGGCTGTGCCAGAAAGTGAATCTAGTGTATTCATCCTACCATGGTCCTGAATAGCAGACTATTTCTATCCCAGGAATTCTTTAACTTGTAGTTTTAGAGGTGTAATCAAGTGTCCTTCTGTACTTGCTAAGCAGGAGTTATAGACTTGATGTAGAAACTGTTAAGTTGGATGTTTTGACCCATCTTATGCCAGAAGTCAGGCAAGAACAAGAAAAGAACATTTAGAGATAAATAAAAACCCAGTAACTCCAAACCCTATAGCAAGGCCTTGTTACTACCTCCACTGTTTTCAAGCACAGTACTGTATGCAAAGGGGAGCAGCAACTGATCTACTGTGTGTAGAAAGTATATTTCTTCTCCTCTGCTGCTGCTGCAAAGCTAGTGCTCCTATTATGTCAAGGTCCATTGCATTTACTGCAACTTTGATAGGCTTGACCTAAAAATACTGCTGTGAGTGCATTATTTACAGTGACATTGAGGAACAATTTTCTAGAATGTCTCTAGGGCCTGTGGGCATTGCACTGGGTACATATGTATTACATTAACAAAAACACATGAAAATGACCGTGAAACCTTTCTACAGTATTTCACAGCTATCGTTACCAAATTGGGATTGTTCTGTGGCTTTACAGCATAAGCAAAGATGTGTGTGAACCAGCATCTCTAGTGGGCTGTGGAATAATGGTATTGTTTTGCCAGTGAACATTCTGTAAATTACTAGTCTGTAGAAGTTGGCTTTTAGTATTATATGAAATTATATATCCATACATTAAGACATTTTTCTGTATCTATATGAAAACAATGTAATGAAAATTACTAGTAAAACTTAGCCTAGGCATCACTAGAAGAGATTATTATTGTGGAGTCTGTTCTTCAGAAGCCAGTAAAAAATTGCAGTCCAGGTGAAAATATTTGTTTTGTATTTCTAATGGGTGTCAACTGATTATCTGTGCCCAGGTCAATGCTGGCTAAAGTTTCTGCACCCTGTTCTAGTAGGGTTTGAGTTGTTACTATTTGATATTACCAAATGTATGAAAATTGATAGAAATGAGAGAAAAACATGTATTTAGGGGGAAAAATACTATTTTAGAAAAGGGTGTGAGTTTACCTTTTTCCTGCACTGGAATCTATCTCTCCCGATGCTAATTATTCAGACATTTTCAGCATAGAAAACGGATATAGAGAAACAACTCATGCTCTAGGACATTTGCTCTTTCCAGTGCTGCCAAATTCCAGAATCTTCTATCTTCATAAGCATTTTCTTTGCTAAAAATACATAATACAATTATAATATAAATATATGGTAGAAACAAGACCTGATTTTTAGGTTCCAATAAGACACCTTGACAGAGACTGTTGCAAGAGCAGCTTAATTTGAAAGTTTTTCCTTCTAGATAGAGTATATACCTTTAAGTCCTGCTTTTAATATGATCTTCATCTGTAATACATAAGTTGGTAGTAATTCAAATTCACATTTTTGTAGAAATGTGTAAACTTACTGGCTTACTTCTGAACAGTGTACCTGAGACACTATGCATGTATGCATACATCCATAGCAACCCTTCCTTTTACTACTTCTCTGCCTCTGATCACAATAATATTCAGTGAGCAATAGACCCTGTGGGTTCTTCTCTAGTAAATATTCCAACAAGAAAATATAATCTTCCCAAATATCAATTTTAAAAAATATCCCCAAACAATTCCAGGAGTTAATTTGTTAGTGTGATTGTTTTTGAGGAACTGATTATTTTTTTTTATTCCTATAAACATCAGTCTCTCATATGATTGAGGACTGATCTCTTTCATGACTGAAATATATTTTTATAATTTAAGTAGTCTGACACAAAGGTCCTGTATCTGTTCAGTTGCTCTATTGTGACGTATGGATAAATCGAGCAAACACAGTGCACAAGACAAGTGTTTAACTGATGTGCTGAATAAGCTTTGTAAATCATCAGACTTAAGTATTGTTAATGGACCCCACATTATGACAATATGAATGATATATGATTACCTAACTTTTGAAAGTAATTCTTGCTTTGGAATATTCGAGTTGAATCAAGTCTAAAGGCTGAACTTACCTTGCATAACCATGTAATATAAGAAAGTAGGCTGGTCCTCCTGCGTGTCTGACCAGGGTAACAAAGGGTTGTAAGGAAATAAGGACAAATCTTGAGCTTTATTTACACTTTTATTTTCTTATTACTATTAGCAATACTGAATGTGACATAGGTACCTAAAGTTTACAGCAATTTTACAATTTAACTACTCTTTCATTATTATTTCTGGATATGTATTTGTCATCTTTCAGATATTTAAAAAAGGCAAATGTAATAATATTTGCTATCTAATAGTGTTTAAGTGCTGAATCAGTTTCACATAAAATCAATATTTCATTTGATGTAATATTCTATCTGTATCTTTGAACTCGGGCACTCCTTTGTATTATGACAAATATAGAAGGAACTTCTGAACTATTTCACAATGCCTAGTTAAAACATTTAAATATTCTATCCTCTTGTGCTCAGAGACATCAGGAGTGGACACACACAAAGCTCCCTGTATTGTTACTTATTTCCATGTACATACTGAATAACAGATTTTATGGTTTCAATACTGAGGACAATATTCCAGAAAAAACAGGCTTTTCTTTCTAGTCAGCTAAGTTAAACTTGAAAACAAACAAGCAAGCAAAAAGTAGATATCCCAACCACACTTTTTTTTTAAACAGAAAAATGTAGCCTATAAATATTTGCTGCTCACTACTGCTTTCAGAGCTGATATTCCTCTCATCAGTAACTGCAAAATGTGGGGCCACAGTTGCATTCATTGTTCAGTGAGCTTGTCCACATAGTTAAACCCACCGACAGCAATGAATGTTGATTGTGACCTTTTTTGTAAAGCTTGGCAGAGTAGGGAAGAAACATCATGTGGTGATTAGGTTGCTATCTTCGATGTTAAGGCCTGAAAGCATGAAGTAAGGAGGAGGATGGTTAGCTGGAGGGTACAATCAACGGTCGATGGTTTTCACTTTAATTCCAAACTCACCGACAGCGTTGAATGTTCACTGAAGCAACCACTACAACAGAGCTTCATTGACTTGACAGCATCCTCAAATGTCTGAAAAGAGGGTGGGGGGAAATCAAAATTCACACAATGATTTTAATTATTCAGATGATGCAACTTCACTCATTTTTCTCTTACCAACAACCTTCTCTGTCCATCCTATTTGAGCCTCTGTGAAAGGAGCTGCCAGTTTTTCTAAACTTCTTTCTATGAAAAGAAAACATATTTCACTTATTCAGGTTTCAACATTATATGTTAGGATCCAGGCACAAGTGGATTAATGTTGTCTGTTGTTGCACAAATCCGAACTTCATAGCAAACCAAAACGCAAGATCCTATACATAAACAGAGATGGCTAAGAGTTTTATGAATTAGTGTTACCAATTATAGATTACCGAGTAAAATTTCTTCTTCTGCTGACATGTTCAATCGGATTTAAACTTGCTTAAGATTGATAAAATCTACATTTTCCTTTTAAGAAGTTTTAATTTCAAAATGAGTGTCTTGGACAGAAGGCCTTTTTTCCTCACAAATTTATACCTGAAGAACTTGTTATGACAGTTTTTGGGAGGGGAAAAAGGCAAACTAACATCAAGGCTTGATGGCCTTAATTTTCTTTACACACATTTTCTAGGTGGCAGCATGCTGTATATATCCAGAACTTAATCACTGCAAAGACAAGTGCTTATCCCTAAATATTTCCACAGTGGTACAACAATTTTTTTCCAGTCTTCTGAGTTTTCAAACTCTGTTGTCCTAATTCTTAAAGTAAATAAATAAAAGTTGCAGTTTTCACATTATAGGGGAAGGGTTTTGGAAGCTCGATTAGAAGGCAAAACATGGTAACAGAAATTTTACCTGATTTACGTTTGGGAGCAGGGTTCTTCTGCAGAAGGTGGTCTCGCAGCTCAGCTGGTCAGACTTCTTTTTTGCTAGGTCCACTCTTAGCTTTCTGCGCTGAAATTATGCAACTAATGCATTGGTTTCTGTGAATTGCTAGTTTACCTTTGGTAAAAGATGTCTTGTACTCTCGTCCATTTCTAGTTATTTTCAAAATCTTTATAAATGTTGGGTATTATTTTCTTTTGTACTTGCAAAGAGAAAACCAGCACCAAAAGATTGCAAGTCAAAAGTATGCTGTTTTGTAAACAAACCATGATGAGGACTGTCTTAGCTCTTTCAGCTAATTGCTCTGCATGTAGAGGTTTTTATTGCATCACTTAACTCAATTGAATTTTCTGTCAAATATCTCTAAAGGACAGAATCATTAATATATCCTGTTGGAGAACTAGACAAGACAGGAATCAACTGATTTTCTTTTATAGTAGATTAGATATATTTTGTTTATAAAGGCCACAGTGATCATGAATATACCGGAATTCAAAACAAATCCTTTGTGGTTGTGGTGGTAGCGGGTTGTTTTGTTTTTGGTTTTTTTTTCAGTTGTTTTTTTTTAACTTTTCTCTGATACAGCAGCATCTCTGAAGTTTGATTTATTTCATTTATTTGTTTAGTTTTACCCTCCATTTATTTTTACTGGCTTTCTCACAGTTTAATTCCATGGATGTTAAGAAAGGAGTTTTTTTTACACCAGCAAAAGAGATGAGAGAATAAGGCTTTCCAACTCAGCAGTCTTTCGTGCATCTGTTCACCTTGTTTCAGCCAAATTATTTGACTTCATGGTTTAGGGTGGCTCCTATTTAACATTTATCCTATTGTAAGCTTTCTTTTTTATGCCATTTCTTTCAGTACTCATTCCTATGTTCTTCTACCTTGTTTTTACCTGTCACTTCATTTTTCAGTATGGGGTCTTGCCTGGCTGATACCTGGCAATTAGGATGTGGAGTAGGAGAAGGTGAGTAGTGATGTAGAACTTGAGGTAGGGTGGATTGCATTTTAGGGAATAACTTTCACAGGTTGTTACTGCTCTCTCCCCACTCCTCTATAATGGAAAAACCTCAGTATTTCCTCAGTTACCTAGCCTCTCTTGAAACAGGATGGAACTTATAAGTACAAAACCACAAAAAGTATTCCTGAGCTCCAGCCTTCAGCCTGATTCCTGATGTGTGCAGGTTATGTAGGGTAAAAATGCTTTCATCTTCTCTCATCTTGTTTTCATATATATATTTTTTTAATCCCTTACTGGGCTTAGCTAGCTGTTACAAATGCCAGCTTTATTTTAAATTTCACTTCAGATCTGCAGGCCCATGTGAACATTCAGATTGGATGTATGGGTTGTGGTTTGTTTTTTTTTTTATTTAAGGTTAGTAGGTCATAAATAAACCAAAGCACTTTCCTTGCTATGAGCAATAGGGTCATGGTGTGCATGAAATATCACTTTAAAAAAATTGGAACCTAACATGAATTGACAGAGGTACGTGAGGAAGTAGTTCATTGTGTCGCTGTAAAGGCCATAGGGATTTGGATTGCTAGAGCTGCCTGTTTTTGGAATAGATTAGATATCTTGTCTGATGACCTGTACTTAATTTAAGTGACTGCCTTCGCCAGTCCTTCCAGAGGGCAACTGTGTGAAGTAGAGCATCTCATCTTCAGTCTTCACTCCTCTTCCTCCTTTTGATGGCCTGACCTAAATTGAAGATATGGGTGTTGTGCTGCACAGACAATTTACTTTAGTGCTATGTGAACTGCATCTTTAACTCTAATTGGTTAGCTTTTCCATTTTGGACTTCTTATTCAAGATATCAAGGTCAATGTTCTCCTTCATTGTTCTGGTTAATACTGACAACTGTCATGCAGTACACATGTTTAATGGCTGCTTTGTGTAAAACAATAATCCAAGAGTGGTTCCCGGAACTATGAAGGGATACTGTGCCTCGCTTATCCCCCTACCTCTTCCTCTCTTCATTACTTCTCCCTGTGCCACATAAATGCTTGATGAAATATAAATGATAGTCTGTGAGCCAGACCTGTCTGATACCTACTTCAAAGAGCTGTTTTAGTACTTTAACAATATTACTGTTTATGAAGCTGTGCGATTGCTTAGGAGCAAATACTTGGGTGAATACGCAGATCTCGGGCTTGGGGACTTACTTATGATTTTAGATAGTTTCCCTCATGATGTATTAAAACATTCTATTCAGTTTGCACACTGATTAAAGCAGTATATTAACATGTTTATATGGTTATACATAAATATAATCTGTGTGGCTTTCAGCATCTTTTGTTCTTTTGACATTGAATTCTTTCTGGGTGATGGAGTTAAGGCTTTTTAAAGGCAAATATTCATAACAGCCAACAGAACAATAGTATTAATACTTGTATTGCAAAGTTATCTCACGGATACAGTTGTTGGCTACTTCTAGCTCCTACTTGCCCTCTCCCACAGTCTGTCAACTCTCCCACAGGCTTCCAGTTATACACCTGGAGACAGGAAGAAATACAGTGCATGGATGTATTTTTAATTGTGTTGCAAAAATCAATTCCAGTGTCAGCATCTAAAAATGGTTCTAACACACTTGGGATCAGATTCTCAGCTAGTGCAAACTGGCACTGCTCCATTGACGTCAGTGGCATCTGCCTTTACACCAGCTGGCACCTGGCTGCTCATCTGGAAAAAAAAAAGTAGAATGATCAGTTATGGGTTCTTATCACCTCTTCTGTTTTGTGTTGTGTTCATCTTTTTTATTAAACCTTTCTCAAGTGACAAATTTCCATGTTGTATTGACATTTCACCTGCAATAAATTAGCACTAATACTAAATCTCAGTAAGTATTGACACTACTGTGCTTCCACCAAAAGGAATTAAATCCAGCTGACTGTTGTTATTAGGGATTCAATTTATTCTTGGATGACTTTGAGTTATATGCTGGAAGTAAAAATTTCTGTGCAGCTATCAAGAGGAAGTAATTTTTCTGACCATGAGATGTGCTAATTTTTTTGTGGTCTTAAAAATGGCAAGAACGGAATCAAATAACCTTTACTGTAATCCAAGACTACTGTATTCTACAAACACTAACTGCAGTTATTTCTACAGTGTGCTGGAGTATAGCATTGGTATCCTAATTACTAATGCAGTAATTCTAAGGCCAATGTTTTTCAAGAAATCCAACTAGACAATCACAATGTTTTCATGTTAACTTCAACCTATGGAAACATCACTCTAAACCTCTGCGGGAAAAAAAAAAAAAGATGTTTTAGGGAGTATTTCACCATTTACTGGAGTACGGCCATCTCTGAAGAAAAGTAGCAGCTGTATAACATCTTGAAGCAACAGTGCATGCCAGCCTCAGACAGGAGGAAAAACTGTGATTGCCTTGTTTAAATTCTGCATTCTACAAGACTGCTTTTTTGTACACTATGGCATTAAGAAATCTAAAGTTATACAGAATCATCCTAGCTCTTGCTCATGAAATAAGGCAGGGGGGTGGCATGAGGGGGTGGAATATGTTGGCACACCATAGAACAGATTTTTAGTTGAAATAATGAACACAGGACTGTTTTAAAGTAAATCAAAACTTGTTTGACACAACCATGGCACAGCAATCTGCAGTTCATTGAGTCCTATCAGAGTTCTGGTGGCCCAGAAACCAGTACATCTCCAAGTATGCTAGTTTGTGTGTTTGTAGCTTTTGAATAAGTTTTTTAGCAAGTCTACTGTCCAAAAATTTACTGTGCTCTTGAAGTTAAACCCATCAGATAATATTACATGTTTATAACACAGGCTATGAGGTGGGATGCTGATTAGCCAAGCTAATTTAGGAACAGAACAAATGTGAGAAGCAATGATATTAGTTCAATCAAATATTTGATTGCACTTCCAGAAATAATTTAATTGCAGAGTTCAAAACTATGCTTTGCCCATTAGAATTTTGCTTGATTAGTATTTTGCTACATTTTGATATTAAAGGCACTTCCGAAACCAAATTTAATGTAAAAATATCCAAGGCAATACTGGCTTTTTGCTTACTGCTTTAGGCTTTTGTACCTCAATCGATATAAATTCTTACTCTTATTTAACAAATCATAGTTTCATTCATGTGTTCTAAACATACTTTTATATCTGACTTATTGAGCTTGACTCTGCATTTTATTACTTCATGTTGTTAGTCCTGTTTGAAATTGTAATACAGGATTGCAGGACTGGACCTGTAAGCTTTGCTTTTTATTTAAAGCCAAGAAATTGGTGAATAAATTCTAATACTGCCTGCAGTTTCCCAGCCTTTTGGATGACAATTCTCCACTCCTTGTAACTGGAACACATTACTATTTATGGAAGGTATGCACGTATTTCAGTGTCCATAAAGCATATGCAAACATCTGTTCTTTAGATCACTAGATGGAGTATGGTAAGTGCTTTTTACATTAATATCTATGAAGTAATGCTCACCTACTGACATTATGCTTAAACTTTAATGTTTTAGCAAACATTTCAGTAATTTATCTTTTCAGTCAATCTAAGTCAAACCAGTAGAAATTGCAAACACGCTGGCATGGAGTTCTGTGTGGCCTGTACCCAAAAAATATCAAGTGGAAGTTGTGTGACAAAGTGGTGTAAATATTAAGAGCAACATGATCAATTCTGCTAAAACACTAGAGGTTCTGTTAGTAATTCTCTGTACTTATTACTACCTTTGAAGGGTATTTCTTACCTTCCCTCTTCCTGTGATAGCCTTGAATGGGCATCTTTTACCTACTTGACAAATCTGGATTGTGTGTAGCGGTCTACTTTTTTAGTGTTATGATCTATTTCCCATGTGATCCCACAGGCAAGATTCTAAAGCCCAGTAACTGAAGCTATGCTCAGAAAACATAGTACATGTGGAAACCAAGACTTCCATACAAGTTAATGTAAGATGTGGGAAAGACAATATTGCATGATAGGATGGGAGCTGGGTGGGAAGGCAGCGGATAAGAGTTCTCTTATTCTGTCTTCAATATCAGTGTTTGCATCACATTAAGTGTTCTCAGCTATAAAAAAATCTTTAGCATCTTTCCCATTTTGTGTTAACCATTTATATATTTCAGACTGGATCCATTGGTTGTTTTTCAACATTTCTTTTTGTCTTTGTATGTATTCTATGGGAATAGAGACTTGATAAGGTTATATTTATAAATGTTAGCATAACAACTAAGTTTTCATAGAGTGGAAGTATCGATGAAAATAGGGATTAAAAATATTCTGTATTTCTACGTTCTTGAATTCTCCTGTAGTCAAGTGTTAGAAAACGAAATGCAGCTTTTTACCTGCCGAAAATGGGCTGAATACTTGTACCTTTTTCACTAATCCTTTTTGTTCAAAAAAAAAAAAAAAAAGCCCAAAATGCTTCAACATGAATAGGGACCCCTGTCTTAGGATTTCTGGAGTGTTTCAGTACAATTTGTATGTTGTCTTATACATTCTTCACATTGATCATATGAAATAAATGTATTCAGAAAAACATGTTTGGGGGCTTTTAACGTATATTAATTTGTGCTTTTGATTTCCTAAAATTATTTCTGGAAGCTACCAGAAAAGGTGCTGCTCGAGCACAAGATACCTTAGGGATTCTGTATGTGTCTGCCTATCACTGCTGGAGCAGAGTGCAGTAGCAACTGGCTTCAATATCCCACCCCCCTCTTTTTTCGGAGTCACCATAGGAACGGACTGCAAGAATTGCCAAATTCAAATAATTATGGTCCTGCTGCACAAAGTTTCTTTTGATCAAGAGCAAGTCATTTGAACTCTAATGTTTAGTGGGTAATACTTACAGCCTCATAAAAGTGTAGTGGTGGCTGATATCTCATAGTGCTTTGAACATGTGAAGTGCTATATAAACAATATAGGGCTATTGCACACACAACTCAAGCTATTAGCATTTGAGGGACACTGCCCCAGGCCCTTAGAGGGGAAATAACGTCCTTACTGGGAAAGAGGCACCTTTTTGAGTTCTGTCTGCTTCCAGATTATCAGGAGCTTTCTAGGTAGCATGTAAATATGAAGATGTATGTGTTTGGTTGTTGCTTTTTTTTTTTTCAAATACTGTGCTTATTACACAGTAGCAGATATTAAATGAGGGTAGGCAGCATTCAGTTAGAACTGTGATTTTGAAAATGCAAGGATGGCAAATCATTGCCTGTTTGCATTATTTCCTTTGCTCTAATTGTTTTTTTTTGGCATTCTTATGTTTTTCCTTTGTGAAATTTCTGCATGCCAATCTACTTGTTGCTAATATACTCAGTATTTTTCATGTGTAACTTAAAACAGATGAGAGATTATGCCTCCTCTTTGTTCCTGAAAATATCACCATACTTTACAGAAATTGAACCACAAATGCAGTTTGAGAATGTTGAACAGTCCATGGGTATCTGTGTATAAATGTTGGTGAAATCTTAATTCTAGTAAAAGTTAAAAAACTAGTGGAGGGGCACTTTCTAAATGGCTGATCTAACATTTATTAGATCTGAAGGTACTATTCAAATGGGGGAAGAAGTTTTCATAAGACTGGTAGAATTGCCTCTCCATCACATGTTCTATGTGCTCTGGTAAATAAAGGCTACTGCTTAGGACCCATCTTGCAATAACTGCAACATGCAGTCTGGGGTAGTAGAAAAGCTTATGGATATCTGCAGGGGGAAGAAGAAATTCCTTGAAATCTCTTTATGCCAGTCATTGCTCCAGTTGATAAACAAGACTGGATTTGGTTCAGTGTTGGCAAAACATTCTTTTTGCTGGTGTAACTTATTTTCAATAACGGAGACTATTCTAAAGAATTGCAGTTTCCTGCTTGCTTGGTATTTTTTTTCTTTAGTGTCCTGAGCTAAGCTTTTAGACATGTTAAATGGCATAAACAAGTTTTTCATTTTTATTACTGTTATCTAGGAACAGCCATTCAAAACAAATACGCTATTGACTCAACGCTACAAAGCTCTGAAGAGAGAATAAGCTCAGACTTTGAAGGACTGGGCACACAGTTTAAGTATTTAGCATAGCAAACCCCATTGCAGTACAACTGCTTGTACTGGATCCAATGTTTTACAGCATAAATGCGAAGCATAATCCTGTGTATTCAGGGAGAAAATGCCTAGCTCTTTTACTAATTTCTGTTGTTGGGTTTTGTCTTTATAAAGACCAACATGAACTACTTATTTTCTGCCCTGGCAAAGTTATTTTTAAGTAATAGATATTAATCAAAAGAAAAATAGCCTGCAATAGATAGATACAAGATTATGGGAACTGTTACAAAAGCCTTATATTTATTCTTCAAAACTGGTGCAACCTTAATGTTTTTTAATCTGCCTGTATTTTTGTGGTGCTTTCAACCTCCTCTTCCTTGTCCCTGTTGAACTCAGCTTCCTTTCGAAAAGCTCTTTGTGCTCCAGTGACCACTTTAAGCTTTCTATTGACAAAATTAAGCTGGACTCCTAATTTATTTTTCCAGCAGAAAGTGTGAGTTGAAAGTGGTCATTGGCCCAAAAACCTATAGTGAGAGCAAAGGTGGTTTTATTGGGAAGGGGGGGTGATGTTTGGTTTCTTTCTCTCTGTCCTTCAATCCTTTTCTCTTGTTAACTTATAACCCTCTTGTTTCCTCCAGGCTTCCTGAAAAGTGTAGTTCCTACATCCCTCTCTGA